ACCTCGCAGAGCTATTTATTTTGGGGATTTATTTACCGCTACAGTCCATTTAATTTGGTTCACAGTTCACCCAATCGTCTGGTTACTTATGTCTCCCAAGACGTCACAAAATGAGGGACAGAACAACAAATAAACGGAATTATTTTTTCATAGTATTCCAAATGAAGAATCTCGAACACATTTCACGGCATTTTTGGAAGAAGTAGTATTGTGTTTACAAACATTTGTTTGTATTCACTGTCCCAGTCGGTTTTGACAATAGTGGCAATCTAAATGTGCAATGTGCCTTCCGTTGGTTATCTCAGTAATAATTGATGTAGTAGTTTCATCTGCACTTAATATAAAAGAAGTTGATGTAGATGGAAATTATTATGTGCAGTGGGGAGATAACTTGGCCCTTACCTGTGCACAGGATACTCCGCTATTCGGAAAAGCTAGCATTGATTGGTTTCTCCCTTCACAACCAAACAGACCTGTTGGATATGGAAATAAAGCTCATGTTTACCGACAAGATCAGTTAAATTCTATGGTGTTGGTTTTAGTTGTTCGATCTGTGATCTTTGATCCCCTTCCAGTTGCTCTCCACAGTAGTTCCTTCTCCATTGAGTAGATCATGAAAGGCATGGAACTTGTTGCTGAGGACTATCTTGAATTTGTTGAGTTTGTTAGTATCCTGAAGAAAGGCCGTATTAAACTTTTGTGATATTGTCCGCCCCATTGTCCAGTGCTTCTTGAGTTTCAATTTCATCTTGGCGACCAGCAAGTGATGATCTGATGCTATATCAACTCCTCTCTTGGTTCTCGCGTCTTCCATCGTCCTCCTGAACTTTTTGTTGATGCAAATATGGTCGATTTGGTTTTGCGTGGTGTGATCCGGTGAAGTCCATGTGGTTTTGTGAATGCGTTTATGTGGGAATATGGTGCCGCCTATGACCAGTTTATTGAAGGCACATAGGTTTGCAAATCTCTCACCATTTTCGTTCCTTTCTCCCAGTCCTTGTCGTCCCATGATGTCTTCATATCCAGTGTTGTCCGTTCCAACCTTGGCATTGAAGTCTCCCATCAGAATGGTCAGGTCCTTTGTTTGGCACTTCTCGACGATTGACTGCAGCCTATTGTAGAATTGATCTTTAGCGTCTTCATTGTAATCGTTGGTAGACGAATAGCATTGGATGATGTTCATTGAAATGCCCTCTTTCTTTGTTTTGAATGAGGATTTGATGATCCTTGGTCCATGAGATTTACATCCTGTAAGTGCATTTCGTGCTTGTTTGGACAGCATCAGTGCAACTCCCTGTGTATGTGGAGCATTTTCTTCTTCATGGCCGGAGTATAACAGAAGCTCTCTTGAAGTTAGTCGTTGTTGTCCAACTTGCGTCCAATGTGTTTCACTGATCCCAAGCAACTCTAGGTTGTATCTCCTTATTTCTGCAGCAATTTGGAGGGCTCTCCCGGTGTCCCACATTGTACGAACATTCCATGTACCTAAATAAATGGTCGCTCTGGTTGTCAGAAGGGGCATCGGCCTCGTAACTTCCGAAGGAATTCGGCTTTCATCATGAGGCGTCATAGTTCTTCTAAATGAAGACCTGATTCTGAGGGCAGAGGTTAAAAGGCTTGAATAATTTTTTCTGGTTAGCGCTTCTTAGCGAGTTAGTTTTCTACGGGATGGGTACGCTAACCCCATGCTCAACCCTCCTCCTTTTCCGGGCTTGGGACTGGCTTGCGACCTCAAAATAATCCCTCAACATTCTATAAATGTTGTAGCATATATGAAACACTCACTTAGGTAGCGTTTTGACACACACGCATGTGAGAGGGTATAAATGGAAGCCAAAAGTAAAACGTAAGGAATAGAATCGTTGGCAGATGTTCTACTTATTCCAAGTAATCGAGTACCAGGACCAAATCTGGGACACTAGTAACCTAAACGAAGTCCTCCAAAGGGCGATTAAACCTTGAAAACGCAAAATATCATCTCACCTTAATTTACCGATGCAGTTTGACATTTCCACACATTTCAATGACCTCTGTCTTCACTAGAACAAACTTTTGGTATATTTAAAAGCTTTTTATATGAAGGTCTTGAAGATGCTACAAGTATTCAATGTTTGACAACGCTTTAACCAGTAACACCTTCCATTATGAATCGTACCCATTAAGTGAAATCAAAAGACAGAAGCGAGGAGGTTCGAAGATATATTTGATAGTCTATCAATATATCGTGGATCGACTGATCTAATCTGGCTAGCGATTGTAGGGTATGTTGAACACGGCGTTTCCACTCGTGATCTAGTGCGGATGCATGATCGAGCGCCTTCAGCTCGGTGAGTCGATTGAAACTAATGTGGTGAGCAGTCAATGTCGAAACCTCGCAGAGCTATTTATTTTGGGGATTTATTTACCGCTACAGTCCATTTAATTTGGTTCACAGTTCACCCAATCGTCTGGTTACTTATGTCTCCCAAGACGTCACAAAATGAGGGACAGAACAACAAATAAACGGAATTATTTTTTCATAGTATTCCAAATGAAGAATCTCGAACACATTTCACGGCATTTTTGGAAGAAGTAGTATTGTGTTTACAAACATTTGTTTGTATTCACTGTCCCAGTCGGTTTTGACAATAGTGGCAATCTAAATGTGCAATGTGCCTTCCGTTGGTTATCTCAGTAATAATTGATGTAGTAGTTTCATCTGCACTTAATATAAAAGAAGTTGATGTAGATGGAAATTATTATGTGCAGTGGGGAGATAACTTGGCCCTTACCTGTGCACAGGATACTCCGCTATTCGGAAAAGCTAGCATTGATTGGTTTCTCCCTTCACAACCAAACAGACCTGTTGGATATGGAAATAAAGCTCATGTTTACCGACAAGATCAGTTAAATTCTATGGTGTTGGTTTTAGTTGTTCGATCTGTGATCTTTGATCCCCTTCCAGTTGCTCTCCACAGTAGTTCCTTCTCCATTGAGTAGATCATGAAAGGCATGGAACTTGTTGCTGAGGACTATCTTGAATTTGTTGAGTTTGTTAGTATCCTGAAGAAAGGCCGTATTAAACTTTTGTGATATTGTCCGCCCCATTGTCCAGTGCTTCTTGAGTTTCAATTTCATCTTGGCGACCAGCAAGTGATGATCTGATGCTATATCAACTCCTCTCTTGGTTCTCGCGTCTTCCATCGTCCTCCTGAACTTTTTGTTGATGCAAATATGGTCGATTTGGTTTTGCGTGGTGTGATCCGGTGAAGTCCATGTGGTTTTGTGAATGCGTTTATGTGGGAATATGGTGCCGCCTATGACCAGTTTATTGAAGGCACATAGGTTTGCAAATCTCTCACCATTTTCGTTCCTTTCTCCCAGTCCTTGTCGTCCCATGATGTCTTCATATCCAGTGTTGTCCGTTCCAACCTTGGCATTGAAGTCTCCCATCAGAATGGTCAGGTCCTTTGTTTGGCACTTCTCGACGATTGACTGCAGCCTATTGTAGAATTGATCTTTAGCGTCTTCATTGTAATCGTTGGTAGACGAATAGCATTGGATGATGTTCATTGAAATGCCCTCTTTCTTTGTTTTGAATGAGGATTTGATGATCCTTGGTCCATGAGATTTACATCCTGTAAGTGCATTTCGTGCTTGTTTGGACAGCATCAGTGCAACTCCCTGTGTATGTGGAGCATTTTCTTCTTCATGGCCGGAGTATAACAGAAGCTCTCTTGAAGTTAGTCGTTGTTGTCCAACTTGCGTCCAATGTGTTTCACTGATCCCAAGCAACTCTAGGTTGTATCTCCTTATTTCTGCAGCAATTTGGAGGGCTCTCCCGGTGTCCCACATTGTACGAACATTCCATGTACCTAAATAAATGGTCGCTCTGGTTGTCAGAAGGGGCATCGGCCTCGTAACTTCCGAAGGAATTCGGCTTTCATCATGAGGCGTCATAGTTCTTCTAAATGAAGACCTGATTCTGAGGGCAGAGGTTAAAAGGCTTGAATAATTTTTTCTGGTTAGCGCTTCTTAGCGAGTTAGTTTTCTACGGGATGGGTACGCTAACCCCATGCTCAACCCTCCTCCTTTTCCGGGCTTGGGACCGGCTTGCGACCTCAAAATAATCCCTCAACATTCTATAAATGTTGTAGCATATATGAAACACTCACTTAGGTAGCGTTTTGACACACACGCATGTGAGAGGGTATAAATGGAAGCCAAAAGTAAAACGTAAGGAATAGAATCGTTGGCAGATGTTCTACTTATTCCAAGTAATCGAGTACCAGGACCAAATCTGGGACACTAGTAACCTAAACGAAGTCCTCCAAAGGGCGATTAAACCTTGAAAACGCAAAATATCATCTCACCTTAATTTACCGATGCAGTTTGACATTTCCACACATTTCAATGACCTCTGTCTTCACTAGAACAAACTTTTGGTATATTTAAAAGCTTTTTATATGAAGGTCTTGAAGATGCTACAAGTATTCAATGTTTGACAACGCTTTAACCAGTAACACCTTCCATTATGAATCGTACCCATTAAGTGAAATCAAAAGACAGAAGCGAGGAGGTTCGAAGATATATTTGATAGTCTATCAATATATCGTGGATCGACTGATCTAATCTGGCTAGCGATTGTAGGGTATGTTGAACACGGCGTTTCCACTCGTGATCTAGTGCGGATGCATGATCGAGCGCCTTCAGCTCGGTGAGTCGATTGAAACTAATGTGGTGAGCAGTCAATGTCGAAACCTCGCAGAGCTATTTATTTTGGGGATTTATTTACCGCTACAGTCCATTTAATTTGGTTCACAGTTCACCCAATCGTCTGGTTACTTATGTCTCCCAAGACGTCACAAAATGAGGGACAGAACAACAAATAAACGGAATTATTTTTTCATAGTATTCCAAATGAAGAATCTCGAACACATTTCACGGCATTTTTGGAAGAAGTAGTATTGTGTTTACAAACATTTGTTTGTATTCACTGTCCCAGTCGGTTTTGACAATAGTGGCAATCTAAATGTGCAATGTGCCTTCCGTTGGTTATCTCAGTAATAATTGATGTAGTAGTTTCATCTGCACTTAATATAAAAGAAGTTGATGTAGATGGAAATTATTATGTGCAGTGGGGAGATAACTTGGCCCTTACCTGTGCACAGGATACTCCGCTATTCGGAAAAGCTAGCATTGATTGGTTTCTCCCTTCACAACCAAACAGACCTGTTGGATATGGAAATAAAGCTCATGTTTACCGACAAGATCAGTTAAATTCTATGGTGTTGGTTTTAGTTGTTCGATCTGTGATTACAGATGATTCCGGAACGTATGTTTATTTTGCGTATTGTTTTTTCTAACACTTCGTTAAACCAACAGTAGTTTATAAACTAAACTAAAACCCCAAGTTTTGTAAGTAATGAAACGTTAATATTTACTCTTTAGCCTTTGGCTCTGAATATAATAGGAAGTGTTGGCACGATAACAATAATAATAGGATACGCATAAGAGCCTAAATGTATATTTTACATGGAGTATGATTTACTGATGCGCTTTGGTTGTCTTCGACTTTGACGGGGATCGATAAACCGTTCGAAGTTCAGTGACTCAACTTCCGGATGATTCGGTTAAGGCTCAGTGAAATTTTACCTACCTAAGGTGTCTTAATCCGTGTTCATCGTCAGTCTTCGTCTGTGGTATTATTTATCCACTACTCATGAAGTTTTTAAAGCTTTTATTGGATACATATGCGTATGCAAATTAACTGGGTTAAACTTATTTTTGAAAAATACGAAGTTTTTATTTGACCTTACTAAGTAATTCCTCGAAACAGTGCAGAAAGTAATGGTAGAATATGGTTACTAAGTATGCTATAGTCTACTAGTTTCCACAAATACAATGACGTGATTTTTTCGTAAAGCAATTTGCAATCCCAACATTTTCTGTCTTAATCACGAGCAACATATCAAGTAACTTATTGAGAGATTATAAACACTGCTTTTGCATTGGAACTAATGATTTTACCTGCTAAGCAACCATATTTTAATCGACAGTCTAGATCATTTGGGGTTTGAATTATGTTAATTTGTTTCCAAAGTTTTCACAGAAGTAAAATTTATTTTTGAAACACATAATTCCACTCAAGATTCAACTTAAAAGAGTTGATTTTGTAGTTTAATTTCTAACCTATGTACATACTTACATTTATATACTATAGATATGTTTAGGACAATCAAGTTCCATGCTCACAATGACAGCGAATTCATTATACATATATATATATATATATATATATATATATATATATAATTCGTGGTAAGTTCATCTAACTTGTCTTGTAGAGTCTCGATGGTCTTGTGATTCATAGTTAGGTGTCTTGCGAAAAATAGTTATAACGCAAATTCACTCGCGAAACAATATGTATAGTGTGAGGTTTGCAATCCTGTTGTTTGCATTAGACCGTAAAAATTGGTTTAGTGTCAGCATTTTGACAAAACATAAAAACTGTTTTCAACTAAAATGTTTCTTTTTTATGTTATATACTGGTGATGAAATGCAATGGCTGGTTTCGTATTATGCAACATGTCACAAAATAATGTTCAGTAGTCTTGACAATTATTCTTTTGCTATCTTTCGGTAATCTACTATATGTTCCACAGTTATAATGCAATCTAGATTGAGGTCAACTTACTTACTTACGCCTATTACTCCTCGTGAAGGAGCATAAGCCGCCCACCAGCATTCTCCATCCAACTCTGTCCTGGGCAATCCTTTCTAGCTCCGTCCAGTTGTAATTCATCGTTTTCATATCTGCTTCTATTATCCGACGTAATGTGTTCTTTGGCCTTCCTCTTTTTCGCTTCCCTTCAGGATTCCAAGTTAGGGCTTGCCTCGTGATGCAGTTTGACGATTTGCGTAATGTATGTCCTATCCATTTCCATCGTCTTTTCCTAATTTCTTCTTCAGCTGGAAGTTGGTTTGTTCTCTCCCACAGAAGGCTATTGCTGATGGTATCCGGCCAATGGATGTTGAGTATCTTGCGAAGACAGCTATTTATAAATACTTGTACTTTCTTGATTGTGGTTTTTGTAGTTCTCCAAGTTTCAGCTCTGCACATTAGAACTGCCTTGACGTTGGTATTGAAGATTATCACTTTGATATTGGTTGAAAGTTGTTTTGAGTTCCATATGTTCTTTAACTGTAAGAATGCTGTCCTTGATTTGCCAATCCTTGCCTTTACGTCTGCATCTGAACCTCCTTGTTCATAGATGATGCTTCCTAGGTATGTGAAGGACTCTACATTTTCCAGAGTTTCGCCATCAAGAGTGATTGGATTGTTGTTTTCCGCTTTGAATTTGAGGACTTTGGTTTTCCCTTTGTGTATGCTGAGGCCTACTGAAGCAGAGACCGCTGCTACACTGGCTGTCTTCATCTGCATCTGTTTGTGTGTACGTGATAGGAGGGCTAGGTCATCTGCGAAGTCCAAATCGTCTAATTGATTTCGAGCTGTCCATTGCATTCCGTGTTTTCCTTCAGATGTCGAGGTCTTCATAATCCAGTCGACCACCAGAAGAAAGAGGAAGGGAGAGAGTAAACAGCCTTGTTTGAATCCGGTCCTTACTTGGAATGCATCTGTCAGCTGTCCTGCATACACGACTTTGCACTGTAGACCGTCGTATGAGTTCCGGATAATGTTGACAATCTTCTCAGGAACTCCGTAGTGTCGAAGAAGTTTCCATAATGTCCTCCTATCTACACTGTCGAATGCTTTTTCATAATCAATGAAGTTGATGTATAGTGATGAGTTCCACTCAACTGATTGTTCGACGATGATCCGTAGTGTTGCAATTTGGTCTGTGCATGATCGATCCTTACGGAATCCAGCTTGTTGATCTCGAAGTTGGGCGTCTACTGCATCTTTCATCCGGTTCGGCAACACTGTGTTGAAGACCTTCCCTGGTATTGACAGCAGTGTAATGCCTCTATAGTTTTCACATTTGCTCAGATCTCCTTTCTTTGGAATCTTGACGAGGTGCCCTTCTTTCCAGTCCATTGGCACTTGTTCCTCTTCCCAAATCTTTTTGAATAGAAGGTAAAGCATGTTTGTAGTTGCTTCGATGTCTGACTTCAGTGCCTCAGCTGGTATGTTGTCCGGACCTGCTGCTTTCCCGTTCTTGATTTGTCTGATGGCCATTCTGATTTCTTCCGTCGTTGGTGGGTTGACGTCTGTGGGAAGATCTGTGTTTGCCGCTTCGATGTCCGGTGGATTCATTGGAGCCGGCCTATTCAGGAGTTCCTCGAAGTATTCTACCCATCTGTTTCGTTGTTGTTGAATTTCGGTGATTGTCTTGCCTTCTTTGTTTTTGACCGGTCTCTCTGGTTTACTGTATTTCCCTGCTAGTTTCTTCGTTGTATCGTGAAGCTGTTTCATATTTCCTTCTCTAGCTGCTTTTTCTGCCGTCGTTGCTAGTTCTTCCAAGTATTTCTTCTTGTCGGCTCTAATGCTCCTCTTCACTTGTTTGTTTGCTTCTATGTATTCAGCTTGTGCTTGGACTTTCTATGCTCGTGTTCGGCTGTTGTTTATTGCTGCCTTCTTGTTCTTCCTTTCTTTGATCTTGTCCAGTGTTTCTGTAGAGATCCATTCCTTATGATGGTATTTCTTTAGACCCAGAACCTCTTGACACGTTGAAGTTAATGCTTCTTTGATGCCTTTCCAGTTGTCCTCCATACTAGTTTCTTCTTTTAGTAGATCTTGTAAGGCTTGGAACCTGTTGTTGAGAGCTATCTTGAATTCATTGAGTTTGTCAGTATCTCGAAGGAAGACTGTATTGAACCTTTGTATTGCTGTTTGTCCAGTTGTCCAGTTCTTTTTTAGCTTCAGTTTTAAATTGGCCACAACTAGGTGGTGATCTGAAGCTATGTCAGCGCCTCTCCTGGTTCTCACATCTTCCATTGTCCTTCGGAATTTTTTGTTGATGCAAATATGATCTATTTGGTTCTCTGTAGTGTGGTCCGGTGAGATCCATGTAGCCTTGTGTATACGCTTGTGTGGAAATATTGTGCCTCCTATGACCAATTTGTTGAATGCACATAGATTTGCAAATCTTTCTCCATTTTCGTTTCTCTGTCCCAGTCCATGTCGTCCCATAATATCTTCATATCCAGTGTTGTCTATTCCGACTTTGGCATTTAGATCTTCCATTAGAATGGTGAGCTCCTTTCTTGAGCATTTCTCTATGATTGACTGCAGCCGCTCGTGGAACTGATCTTTAATGTCGTCGTTGCTATCATTTGTGGGTGCATAACATTGGATAATATTCATTGTGATCCCCTCCTTCTTTGTCTTGAACGATGCTTTGATGATTCTGGATCCGTGAGATTCCCATCCTACAAGTGCATTTCGTGCTACTTTGGACAGCATAAGAGCGACTCCCTGAGTGTGTGGAGCATTTTCCTCTTCGTGACCGGAGTATAGCAGCATCTCTCCCGTAGCTAGCCTTTTCTGTCCAGCTTGGGTCCAGTGGGTTTCGCTGATTCCCAGTACTGCTAAGTTGTATCTCCTCATTTCCATTGCTATTTGACTGGTCTTCCCGGTTTCCCACATTGTTCGAACGTTCCATGTACCTATAGAAATTTTTGCTCTGGTTGTTAGAAGGGGCATCGGCCTCGTGGCTTCCGAAGGAACTCGGCTCTCACCATGAAGCGTCATAATTCTTCTATATGAAGACCTTCTAACAACCAGGGCAGAGTTTAAATGGTTTGGATTATTTTTTCTGGTAAGCGTTTTTTTAGCGAGTTAGTTTTCTACGGGATGGGGACGCTAACCCCATGGCCAACCCTCCTCCTTTACCCGGGCTTGGGACCGGCAGTAACCCTATAAGAGCTACAGGCGGAGTTAGATTGAGGTCAAGCTGTCGGTTTTTATTATGTTTTGTTCGGCGGAGTTAGACCGGTTTCATCTACCTAGTGCTTTAAGATAACTGACTACTGTTTATGATTCGTGATCAGCAATTTTATATTTGTTACTATCAAAGGTATGTTTGCCGTACAGGAAGACAGGAGGGAAATCAGTTTATTGAAATGGGTCGTAAAAGTGTCAATGTCATAGTAAGGAAAAGCATCGTGGCTACAGACTGTCCGAGAGATCAATGGATTCCTGTATTAGAAGAGAATACAAATTGTTGGGGCAACGGTACAGACTGTGGGGTACCTACTGCTACAATTCGATGTATAGTCGAGGCCTTTCCTGCACCTACAATTCACTGGCGTTTCAAAGGAGTTCAGTTAACTACAGGTACTAAACATATCATAACAAATTTTGGGATAACAATTATCAACCCAACAGCTGAAGATTCTGGTATATATACAGTGATTGCCAGACAACCACAACAAACTGCTGTCTTCGATTTGCAAATTTCTGCATTCAGGTACTGTCAGATTTTGCTGGTAAAAGAATAAGTGATCACCAAAATGAGTTCACTAACCCTTTTATGTATGACTGTAGCAAAACAGACGCTTTTCATTTTGACTTCAAGTACTATCGTTCTTTCTAATCCAAAAGATTGAAAAACAGCTGTTTTCCTGTATAACTTTGCGGAGTAAAAAGGTTCACAAATTAGCATAGTAAATAAAGAGAGTAAGCAAATAGTGTATTATTCAAATAACTAGTTCGAAAAGATTAACTATCTACTAACTGTCATAGTCGTTTAATCACAATATACTTATAGGTCACCCAGTAATAACTAATACTCACTTGTTATGGAACAGGTTTGATGATCAGGTTTGCTTTCGGTAAATCAACATCATTGTTCAATACGTTCCGTCTAAAGTGACTGGAAAGAGACTTGGGCTTTGAAAAATGGTAAATTGAAAGGCCTAAACATTTCGTGTACATTAGACAGTTTGAAGTTTTTCGAAAACGTCATAATTGTCATTAGTATTTTGGGAAACTGTGCCTGTTGTTCTTCTGCTATGCAAAAGGAAATTTGTGTAAGTTTATTCTGCATAATATGTTCTATAGTTTGCATCGTCTTTAAAAGTTTTAGCTGTCAATTAAACTCTGAATTTTGACTGTATGTGTAACTTCTCTTTTAAAATGCAGTTGCAGAAGATGTACATTTCTCCCTTGATATTTGTAAGTTTATTTTTAATTTTAAAGAAAACGGACATGGTTCTAAGTATATGTATTCAACTCAATTATATGCTTGACACGTTCACAACCTTATTTTATACTGTTCACAATTGTTTCACTTTCCAGTTTGGGAAGATAACATCTATTGCTTGATAGGATTGTAGTTTACAAGATGCTTATTCAATAGAATTAACTACAATAATTAAAGAAAGCCAAGAGCGTTTTTAAGAAAGACGTATATTTAGAAAATTTCATTTAGAAGTACAAGGTTTGCGCGCAAGCCGTTTATCTATTATTCGCTATGAACACGAGGTATATGTGTATGTATGATAAAACGGTTGTGCAACAATAAGAGATGATGGTCCTGATAACTAGCTAGTTTTATCACTGGGACAGATGTGACACTGTACAGTTCCTGATTGACATGGTTGTCAGTAGACAACAATTTATCGACACAATTACGAGCATTTCACACACTGTGAAACCCAGAGCAGAGATAACTAGTGTAATCAATTTATGATATTAGATGGTTTCGTAATACTTTCTATTAGCGGTTGTTTATTTTTGCTTGGTAGCTAATCAGATCTTACTTTCACTGGCAACATGTTAACCTGGATAGGAAAGCAGTTTTTTGAGACCCGTAATTGGAAAAAATTTATAGGTATCATTGAAAGTCGACTAGTTTATCCGAAGATATTTTCTGAGCCATGGTGATGTTTATCTATTCAGACTTATATCTCATACTTCTACAACTGCGTTACCAGATTACTCATAATTTTCCCAGAAATTGTTAAGTTTAACGATATCATTTGCCTGGGGGACATTGAGAACAGACATATCTCAATACGTTCAGCATGGAGAAAGTTCGAAGTATTAAAATCTCCAGCCATTATCTAATCTTTTTTTCGGAAACAATATTCGAACATCTTTTAAAGTGAAATATTCTAGTTAGAAATAAGGACTGACTCCGTTCTTGTATTTTCAACATTACAAGTTTATTTCATTCATTGAATCATGTAAATACTCTCATTTTTTCAAAACTATTATTAGCCGTCCACGTATAACTTCGGGTCCATCAATCGTTAGGACATACAACAATACTTTTGTATCTGGCAGAGAAGCATATCTTCAGTGTTTAGCGTCTGGTCAGCCTCCACCTACTATCCATTGGTATCATGAACGAGACCCGCAAACGGAATTACAAAAAGCAAATCCTAAAAGGTTCTCAGTGAATACAAATTTTCGTGTTGGTCTACTGTGGATTTCAGAGGTATCTTATCCTGAGGTAAATCGATCCTATTTATCTGGTATTACCATCATTTAAAACTTAAAAAACAACTTATGAAATCCCATACAAAATGTTGTAAAACTATACTGACTATGATGTGAAATACCCTATTTTAAGCTTTAAAATGGGGTAAAACAACTTTAGATAAACTATTGAGTACGATACTCATCTATACAATGTAGAAGTAATGAACTTAGAAGAACATTGATATAGGATTTTCCTGTCAGATGACTTGATGGATGACATTTTGTTTTCAAAGTTTATAGTATTTTGAAAACAAAGCTCAAGTGGTGATGAAGCTGATGGGTCTTTTTCAATTAGTTCGACATCATCCCCTCAGGACTTGAAGTTAGTTTGATTATTTAAAAAAGTGGTTTGAATTATTTATTTTAGTTTGGCTATCAAAACCATCCATCTACGAGAACATTAAGCTAATAAATCCCAATAATTTAGGTCGAACAAATGAAACTGTAAGTGTCGCAGATGTTGTTAGTCTGATCTTTTTAATGGCGAACTTTGCAAACATGATACATATAAATTCCATCTTTAAATTTTTACAATTATTAGTTATGATATTTGAAAAAATAGTTAACTTTGTTAAAGTTCTTCACTTTAAGTTGCGTTTTAATGCAATAATTAATGTAGCTCGTATATTAAGCATCAACAACATTGCATAGAAATATATTTTTTGTTTGCATAATATGTATACAATTCATTGAAGTTAATCACAATAATCATCATGTTTCCTCATACTACTTAGGATTCAGGTAGCTATATATGCCGAGCTGTTATTCCTGTTCCTGCAACGTACTCTGGTTCCACTTTAGTGACAATAACTGAAGCCCAAATACCTATCGAAGTTACACTTCCTCCCACATTAATACCGCTCACAACTATGCATAGTTACGTAAAACTGGGTAAGTATTTCTGTTCCTTAGCTTCCATACAGAAAATATTCTTGATTTATATACTTTACACAAATAAGGCTGATGAATGAGTTAAAAATGTTCATTATTTTTAAGCTTGGATTGTTTACGGTATTAGGAAGTAGGACCAACAAGATACAAAAACTTTACTGAACCTGGAGTTAATTTACAGAAAAATGATTTGAAAATGAAGTTATAAAATAACTACAGAACATAACAACATTTAGACGTGTCTCCGGTTTTGTTGTTATTCTGAATAATATAGTCGCCGCTAATTATGTTACCCAGAATGGCAATGAAAGCTTCACAATTAAACCATCAATTTCGAGAAATCCAACACAACCAAAAGCACTCAAATGCGCTACAAACCTTTTCAGTTATTTAAATACACATGTGAAAACAAAATACATGATCATTTAGGCTCCTTAAATGCTCAAATTCTCCTACAGAATGAATGATCGTGGTAGAGCTTACTCATAGTCAGTAATATGATTTAGAAAATGTTAATTGTTGTTTGTATAAATCAATATATGTAATGCATTTTTTTGGAAGATATTTGTTATCAAATAAAAGTGCTCAAAGAACGATTCCTAAAAACAAAGTACTCAAGTTAATAAATATTACTACTGTTAGTAAGTTCAAGATTTAGCTTCAATAAAATTTATAAACGAATTTTAAATAAAATTCATATTAAAATTCAAAACTCAGATACAGATAAGGAAATTACAAAATTTTTTGTTGTTATTATTCTATCTCTTATTTAATTAGTAGTGTTTTATATCTACAAAAGGTTAATCTCTCAGTATTTTGCACAAGAATTGAAGCTTTTAAAGGTTTTAAAGTGTAGAGTAAGCAATTCAACTAGTGTTTTTATGTTGCTATGTTGTCTCAATAAAATACGGAAACTTGAAATCTTATCGTTGTTTACATGTCGTAAACTTACTTACGCCTGTTATTCCTCGTGAAGGAACATCGGCCTCTCACCAGCATTCTTCATCCAACACTGTCCTGGGCAATCCTTTCCAGCTCTTTCCAGTTGCTATTTATCTTTTTCATGTCTGATTTTATTTTCGACGTAATGTGTTCTGGGGTCGTTAACCCCATGCCAAGCCATCCTCCTTTACCCGGGGTTATAACCGGCAGTCAGTCAGTCAGTTACAACGTAGGACCAGGCACATATGTGCATCGGTCCAGGTTGCCATACCGCATCAGCACAACAAGATGAACACCGGATTCATAACAGTGGTTAGGTAAAAGGTGGTAATATATAAGAGAAAGATTGCATATAGAGATATAGTACAAGAAGAAGGAATTGGTTCGTAGAAAGAAAGATATGAAGCGCTTTTAATCTCTTAGTTTAAGGGAAGACAGGGAGTGTATACATCGACGCCATTGTGATCGATTCTGAGCCATGTCACCAAGAGTCTCCAACCATTGGTTACGATAGTCACGCGGACCCCAACCGGCAGTAACTCTAGAAGAGCTACAGCCGGAGTTACATTTCGTAAAGTTTAATATAATTTATTTTCTTTTTCTAAATACTAGTCTCGTGCTCAAAGTGACATGATAAAAAATATGTTAAGATTAATGAATTAGCGACCAGTGAAATTTGAAAAGACACAAATATTTTTTTAAAAATATCAAGGCTAATTCATCAGTTGTATTGTTTACGTTTAGAAAATTTATGTATTTCATTGTCTAAATTAGAAAACTCAAAGTAGTGACATAATCAATCAAGCTGGATACAGATGTAAGATTAGTGTTTACTTTCTGATTGGATTGACTTTTTGAAGTCACTTTTTATTGGATTCATTTCTACTTCATTTACATGCAGATACGTTAAAAAAATATAATGTTCACTTGAAACTACTTTGAAGTTTAATTTGATATCATAGTGAGCAATCTCATCTTCACGTATTCAGAAATAACTTTGTTTGAATTCTGTGTTTGACTATTTCCGTCGAGTCTCTTTTAATCTAAAACTTATAAAGCGCTTTTTCTTTCAAAAATATTAGGAGATACTGCTACCGTGCAATGCCGAGTACGTGCTACAACGCCATTGGAATTATACTTCAAGCGTTTTAATTCAAGTACATCTTACATAAGCGGTGTCCAACCTGGTGATAAACGTATTCGTGTGTGGAGAGAAAATGATGTGAATGATCCATTGAATCATGACTTATTTTTAACAATTGAAAATACGACGTGAGTACTTACTTGAAAAAAAGCCTAATTTTTGTATTTATTCACAAAATATTCCATTAATACTTGTATGAATTTGTAGTTTCTACACTTTTGATATTCATTCTCTTTTGAACAGATACTTTGATGTTAATAACATGTACAGTGGATTGTCATTTGACTAGTGAGACCTGTAGGTCATTTTTCAGGTCAAAGTTTTCGCTTCAGTTTTCTATCAGTGAACCTGTTTATATATAGTGTGATCCATAAATGAGACATCCTTTTTATGTACTTAAGGAAGTTCTGATAATCTTTTAGTGATAGAACAAGATAATCTGTAATGTTTGAACAAGTCATCATTGTTGACCTATTCATTTTTCGTCGTAGGATTTTCTATTTGTTTTTTTCTACAGTATCTTCTCAAAACGTTTCTTCAAAAACTTGTTTGTGTATGATAGTATGTAAGATAATTTTGTAATATAAATCTTATGATCAAATGAATATACACTCTTAGCCAAGAGTGTTAGAAATAGAGTTTCCAATAACGTTTTAGCAATTGTCTACAATATGAATTCAAAATGAATGTAGATAGCTATGATCTGTCGATATTTACAAACATCTATCCTAATATTTTATCTTTAAAAAAGTTAATTTCCTTTTCTTTGAATAATTCACATTAGATAGTTTCAATTAAAATAAATAGCTGGTTTTTCACTTAATTCTCTCTGATTTTTGAAACTGATTTCATTGGATGTGCACCATGATTAATAATCATACTGTGGTAAGTTCTGCTTGAAGCCAATGTAAACTCAATAGTAAACTGGTATATTAAATATAAGTATCGAATATGGAAAAAAAATATTTATTGTTTCCTCTGAAACAATCATAAAAATTTTAAGAGCATAATCATACTACGTCGTTAAGAAATGGATGCTTTCAGGTCACTATATGTAAATGTTACATCATCTACCGAATTACTGCAGAATACGACGGTATACAACTATCGGCACTCGAACGTGTAGAACACCACAGTTGCAAATCAAAAGACGGAAGAAACAAGGGGAGCGATTATTGCTTATGAGTCAAAAATGTATAGAAAAACAGTGGTATATATTGTTTCTAGTATAGGCTATAACATCATTATAATCCAGCCAATCTGCATGTAGGAAATTTATACAATTCTTCAATCATAGCATGTGACGTCGATATTATATAGGGTTCTATCAGGTTCTGATTGAATGGAATCTCTTTGGCTCCTTTAGGGTCTTTAGAGGCTTCGTCGTGCTTTTTGGAGGCGTTCCAAATCAGTCTACAAAACAAAACTATTCCAGATTTTTTAGTTACATTCTATGTGATCTAGTTTCAGTTCTAACTTCTCTAAATTCTAACCGCATTAATGATGCGACCTAAAGTATATGTATTTTCTTAATTAGTTTAGACGATACATGGAACTATAGTTGTCATGCAGTTAATCGAGGTAATTCTTCTTGGTGGAATACAACAATTCAAGTGATGCAAACGCCCCAAATCTTGTTACATTCAACTTTAAATACAGATAGTGAACTAAGTGGGTTAAGATTTGGTTGGCGGTATCAAGGAACCAATGTAACTTGTATATCACGTGGTATGCCACATCCAACATGGTACGTTTGCTTTACTGGTGATTACTGAGAGAAGTCATCCAATTTTAGTCTTCGTCAATGAATTATTTGGAGTATTATCCAAAAAACCCATTTTATTCTAATAACTTGATGTAGTTTTTTTTTATAGACAATGCAGAATGGTAGAGTATTTTAAGTATTACATATTACTTCAAAGATATGTACTGTCAGCATTTTAATTTTTTAAATCTTTATTCAGTAGTTTGGAGTATTGTGCTTACTATAATAACTGAAAATTTTAAGTTAAATCCCATGTGGAATTAATAGTAAACAATTCTGAAACTCCCAGAATTCCGGGAAAATGCTTTACATATATTAGTTTGTGAAGGAATTTACTTTTAAAACATCCATTCTAGCAAACACTTGTATAAATTGATTTTTCTATTATTTCGTGCTTTTACTGAATGATTTTAATAATCACCACTTTTCAATGTTAAAATAATAAACCATTCACTATGAACCTTTATTCAGAGGTGATGATCCTACTAAAAAGAATGCTTAGAATAAGCAATTAAAAGGTAGGGATTAAATAGACTTCAGGATTCAAATCTATTCAGGAATAAAAATAAGATTATATTATTTTCTAGTGAAAATAAGAAGTGTGTGATAAAAATACCTATGAAACTATGTAATACAACATGGACGTATTAAGTAAAATGCAGAAACTAATACACATACGATAATAAGATAGGTACTGACATTACTTAATAGTTTTCATTGTGAAAAACTGATCTGATCAGCATTTGTGAATAATTTACTTTTATCATGCTTTTTATTCTCAAACTAATCAAATTAATTTATGTAATAAAAGTTGTATTCAATAATTGTTAATTTAAAATGTTACAAATTATTATAAAATGTTTCCCAAATTGACTGTTGAAATTCAATAGTGTAATGGTTAAAGCTTAATCATTGAAATATTGTCTACTGTTGTCAACGGGAGCATGAACACACATGAATTAGTCATGATTTACATATGAGCAATCCTCGAAAGCAGCTAGCCACCAAGGCTGCGCGCGAAAGTGCCCCAGCTACAGGGGGCGTGAAGACGCCACATAGGTACAAACCTGGAACTGTCGCACTCCGAGAAATCCGTCGTTATATATATATATAGACATTTTGGACAGTGATCATGAGAACTAGTAATATAATCGTCTATCTTGATATTTTATTGTCAAATTGGCCTAGTACACTTTCGTTATGTCAGAACATTTTACACATAACATTTCATTGTTTGAACTGATGTTGGAGTTTTAGGTTTCGTTTCAGTCTAAAATTTAATAATTGATGTGAAACTAAAATTTAGTTGATAATTATGTTGTTCAATTCAATTTAGGTTTTATCCAGTTAACTTTATTTTAAACGAGTATTCATAAATCTATGTTGTGCTTTGGTTTTAATCACCGCTTGATTTCATAAAAAGAATTGCCACTTTATAATTTAGGCAAGGTAACTAGGCAACTGCAATTATTTCATTCACATATAGAGAATACAATACACCAAACTACAGAACTGTCTTGTAATTCTTATTATTTCGTTATAATTACTAATCAGTGTATTTTTTAAAATTTAGGACTTGGTATCGTCGTGGTGAGCAAATATTAAATGGACAAAATTCAACATTTGTAATAATTAGTTATGATTATTGGGATCATAGTCAATCATGGCTCCAAATTACACCTTGTTTATACACGGAACATTTCATATATGATGATTATGTATGCAAGGCGACAAATATCAAAGGGACAAACGAGAGTAAGGTTAGCTTTCGACGGGCTTCCGTTCCCGGACAACCGAGAGTAAGTTTTACTTTGTTTAACTATTCATAAATTATATTATATAATATTACTTTGCTTCTTCTCTCGCTGTGTGGATATGGGGTATAGCATCTTGAATTAATAAATATCTTTGTATTAGAAGGGGTTTGTGTCCAGTTTCAGGTTATGAAAAATTAACTATATGGTTCGAATTATCACTTGTATAAAACAAATATATTGATTTTACCCAAAACTGTGTTGAACTCAAGAATTTAATCGATATACAAAAAAGTATCCATTTTTCAACTGTTATCTGAAATCAAGTTCACATACAGTTTTTTCAATTTAGAATGTCAATTTGTTGCCATTTTAATAAAAAATTCAGTCGATCAATATTAAGTGATAATTTTTCCCTTGTTCCTTAAATATTTACATTAGGATTATGTGAAGAAATTTCATAACCTTCAACTTATAATTTAGGTTTTTTAAATCCTGACTGTGCTTCAATTATCTGGGATTTTCTTAGCCGAAAGTGAAGAGTAATATAATACCCGAAAAGTGCTGAACAATCGCTTCGTTCTACAATGGGACTCTGTAGTGCTCATGATTACGACGTTACGTTAAATCTAACGTAAGACCCTCAGATTTCATGATGAATGCCTCATCCTTGTAATATTAGTTTAGAGTCAAATGATTCACATGTCATGGAGATCAAATTCCGTAATGTCATATCGTTTTTGAAAAAAAAATTAATTAGATTTTGAAATTATATATGCTTATTCTATGTGCTCATTTGATAGTGAAATCAATATGAATTCTGCTTTGATAATTAGGTGCGTTAATAAATAAACATAGTTTAATTCAAAAACTCCTTTTGCTTTTTTTTGACTTAGTTAGAAAGCTATTCAGTCACACAGTCAACGATATTTTTTAACGTTAGTCCTCCTATTAACACTGGAGGTATGGCGACTTTAGCATACGAATTAACTTACAGAGCTTTTGGTGGGCCTGAAGGATGGTATGGCCCTGTTACATATCCATTAGATGGGTCAAGTTCTGGTAAGCCAAAGTTCGAATTGACTGGTTTACTTGGTGATACTAATTATCAGCTAAAGTTATTGGCACGCAGCATTGTTGGACAAGGTATACCGTACAGTTTTTCAATCACCACGGCTTCTAGTACTCGTCCAGGTCCTGTCGAGGTATGTTGTACAAACAATTCGGTGTTATGTATTTGATTAATTTGCATTTTATACCGTTTCTGAATTCGTTTTCAAGACTCATTTTAAAGTTTTTCTCCTAGGATTTGCACAATGGAATTTAAGATAAATGCAGTACTGAAAAAGTCTTACATATTTCTCATTGCAATCATGTACCGATCAGTGTCAGATCACCCCTGAACTCCTGGAAGCAGTGGACGGCCATTCCGTTCTAGGATGGAGCTACAGAGCAGCGTACATCCACGACCCTGCACGTAGGATTCGGACCCAAAACCTTCGGTTTCGCGCGAGAACGTCTAACGTCCATACCGCCGAGTCGTCAACCGATAGTGTTAATGTCTAACTTTAACCAATACACGATGTTGCATGACCATCTTCCATTGTCTTTAGTGTGTAATTGCCTTACACTCGACACATTTGAACTCCACTTGTTATGGCTTCTTACTGTAACCCCAAGGATTACCTATCGAAGCTAGTTACTTGTGAGCACATGATAATTTTCAGTATATGGTTGTAGATTGTTGAACGTCATTGAAGTCACGAAGTGATTTTCACAACAACATACTGAAAGGTATCAGAACAATACTAATACATTGATGTCAGAATAATGCATTATATTTTCAGCCATGAATATTTCAATTATTAATAATTATAAGTGATGAAATTAAAATTATTATTACTTAAGTAAGAGATATGCACAAATACTTGGGCAAATCTTTTGTTCACTCTAATTTCTCTAGAACTTTATACAATAATAACTCTACTATGCAAGGCTGTCAACCGCTATATAGATTAAACACTGACTAGTCAATAACCTTATTCTTAATGGCTTGTTTTTGATTAAAATAGTGATTGTTTCATAATCTCAATAAACACTTAACAATCTCCACAATTCCATACTGAGATTTCGTCTGTGTTTTATATCAGCTGTGACCGAACTATCTATAATCAATAACAAGTTTTGTTAAATCTATGGAAGTGTTCAACTATACGACTAAGATACGCATGAAACCGAGGTTGGGAACAACTATCTATCTAACGTACTCTCGTATTATTACAAAATATATGTAAATTGGCTACAAAAGTCAACTCGTAAAACATACGTTGTTTTGTTAATGTGTCTGTACCTATGGAAAAGAAAAAGATTCCTCAGATAACTGCATGAAGGTTACTTACAGAGTCCTATAGCGTAAATGACAGTTGTTAGCTGTATCTAAAGTTAACTCTGGCTATCAACGATTGAAAGCTGTGAAAGCTGTCACGTTTTAATCAAGACTTAAAAAATCCACAAATTTGGTAGTAACTGCTACAAAATTTGAAGGAATGTAATTATAGAAATAAATAAAACAAATGTTACTAGTTTATGTAAAAACTCAAGAATACTACAAGACGCCAATTAAACGCTACATTTTTTACTCAAAAGTTGTTAAAAATGAAATGGGTTACTGCATAATACTAAGTAGCATAGACTATTAAACAAATGGAAGTGGAATGATGATATAGAATGAGAACGAACTTAACGAACTCAATAAATTTCAAGATACTTGCCATAGTGATTGACATAAGTGATAGCTTCTTGTTCACGTTTCTTATTTACAAGTTGATTGCCTCTAGCACAGATTTTACTATGTTTAATGCTTAGGCGAGTCAATTAAGTTGTGAAAATCGGGTCACATCTTTTAAGTGGATGAACTGAACGGTTAAGAAGAACTGTATATATAAGTAGGAAAATTGATATTCTAGGTAAAAATATATGTTATTCTGAGCAGCTGGTTAAAAGGATTTTCATCGCTATCAATCAGAAGTTTTCAAGATCTCAGCATTATACACGTATCTAAAAATAACAGAAATTGTAGCAATATTCAAAGTGAAAAAGAAGTTAAATTTTATGAACCACAATTGAAATAGAACGCACATTTGTCAAAAATTATATATGAAAATTGGTGCTTTGTAAGTAATTGTACCATTAAAACTTGAAATGTCTCTAGATAACATTTGTAGTTCTAAACAATTTGACGTATGCCGTTAATATCTTATTACCAAGTACTAAAAAAAAGTAACAAGTGGAATTTATCGGACATTCTTTTGAACTGATGTTCCGTATTCATGAAGTTCAAAGAATCATAAAGATAAATGGTTAAGTGTAAAGAAGGAATTGTTAAGTTATTTTTACTTCTTGTTATTATCATAGACATCATTTGAGGCAAATTAATCTGTAACTAGATAAACGTTTTGTAAATTAATCTGAGAAAAAAAATTAACTAAATCTGGTTCCTACGAAACTATTTTAATGATCATATTTTTTATTAAAGGAATTAAATCCTTAGTCTAATAACTAACAAACTCAAATAGTTTATTAAAGATTAAATGCCTATTTTTAAATTATTATTGAGTCAAATAGTATTTAATTTTAATAGCAATACACTTAAACAATGTTGTTTAATGAGTATGAAACTTTGTTAATCTTCTATGTAGAGATTAATCTTATCGTAAGTTCTTTTTTATGCATTGTTATCTAAATTTATGTTTACAAAAAATTGAGTGTTTTGTTATGTTTACCATTTTTGCTAATTTTACATATTTTAATTACTCAGGTTATTCACTCAGCAACTGGAATTTATCCATATGGACATGTAGTAAATTGGATTCCACCAATGAGTGGTGGCTCTCCTATTCTGGGCTATAGAATTCGTGTTCGAGCTGTCGACAATGACTTGAATTTAATTAGTATGATAGAAAATATTTCACCGTCTAGCTCGTGGAAAGTGTATACACCATCATTCAATAATCCTTATATGAATTATTATCATTTGGCTCCATTGAAACCAGATCAAACATATCAAGTATGTGTAACAGTTATGTAAATCAATCATAAGAAATTACATCTCTTGTTATGAAATCAAAAATTAATAGTTAGTGCAACGACTATAGGAAAATGTTGGTTTTTATTAACTGATTTAACGTTTTACTGATTTCATAAATGCCTACTTAAACCTAATTTTCAGTAGGCAAATATTTTATCGTAAATATTTTGTCTGAATGGGTACTTTCTTCGTAAACTTTTTAATCTGGTCTGTGAAGAGGATTCGGTTTTTATAAGTATTTATGATTATTATTTTGTTTGTAACAGAGAACAAGATAAACATCAAGCGGGTGGATGATAGTAAATTTTCCACAGCACAGATAACTATTTTGAAGTTGAGTGCTAATCAGAATTATTTGTTCATGGATCCTACCCAAATTGTATTGATCCATTGTCTGTTACAGATGCAATAATTACATAAGTTCGATTAAAATTCGTACTATTTACCGGGATAAATAATAATTTAGCGTGGAACGAATGTCTTGAAATAATCCGGAATAGTTTGACATATAATAAAATGTTTATTAGCCAAGGATTCTCACATTGGTATGTAGAAAAAAAGCCACTGTTTTGTTTCTAAGTCGGAAGTCAAGAACTCTCTCCTATAACCCAGCTTGTTGAGATAAGTCTCTTCCTACGATTGAATATTCAGAAGTCGAACCCAGTTTTTTAAGTTGAAACTAAATTTGGTGAGACTATAATATATAGTCGACATTCGAGGGACGCCGTAGTGACCTTGAGAAGGTCCACCTACTTACCAGGTCTAAAGTAGTTTGAAAAGTAAGGATTATATTTTGCAGTTGATGGTTAGGGTTTCCATTACGAACTGACATAAGCTAAAATGTCAAGACGCTATTTAGACAATTGAGTGAATGAATTTTGCACCAAAGTTCAAAACATGTTATCCTAAATCTGATTACTTCGTCCATAAATTATAGTCTCGCCGTATTCGTCCTCTATCTTCTCGTTCTTGAATGGCAGTATTCCCTAGTACATAACTCTCCGCTTTTTCTTTTCAAAACGTTTTTCAAATGTGTGATAATGATTATTGTTATTACTATTATTAATATTGATAATCCACTATTTTCATCGTTTTTCCTATTCATCCTGTTATTTTCAACTCGTAGTTCTAACATAGTATGTCCACCTAAGGGAACGCACATCTGTACTAGGTTCTATGCATGGAATGTCTGTCTGAAGATTTAGTTTCAAATTTTTACTATCATTTTAAGGAGAGAAGTCAATTAACTAAGTTTGTGTTCACACTTCTTTTGTCCCTTTTTCTATATCACTGATCTTAATAAGACAGTTTATGTTTAAAAATAATTAACGCTAGATTCTTCACAAAAACCATTTATCTAAAATAATTATTACTGATGCTCTTTATATTTCTTGAAGATCATACGTAATTAAAACTGAAATGGTAAAGACTTGTAATTCCGGTGAATGATTTTGATATAGTTTTGTTCTTTGAGTTGGATGGTTTGGTTACGACTATCGTACACATTCCAAAAATTGATCTGTCGACGTACTGGTTTATTTTATATTATCCCTACTTTTTAAAAATTTTTTTTAATGAATATTTTTCAACTGCAATGACATTTTTATTTTGAAAAATAAGAATATCATAGAATATTCTTCATTATTATTACTTTTTCTTAAACATTTGCTCATTTGATTTAGTTTAATTATTATAAATTGATCTAAATTGACTTAATTATTGAACTAGTTCAAGTGAAATTCACTAGTCAATAGATAATGTTCTATATGAGTTCTTTGCAAATTCGATAAAAAAAATTCATTATGGAGCTGTCAAATTTCCGTGAAATAATTTTTTGCTTATCCTTTTATTCGGATTGTATAGAAAAAAATATGTTTATTACTTGTTATTGTTTAAGTGACCATTACTATAAGCATTGATCAATGATCACCAATAATTAGCAGTTCATCTAAAGAAGTCTTTGTAGAACAAAAATGCTAAAAAATGGAAATTCTTCATTTTACTAGAAGAAACAACTTGAAAAGCATAGTACGGTTAAAACTGTTGAAAAAATGAAAAATATACTTACTTACTTACTTACGCCTGTTACTCCTAATGGATCATAGGCCGCCGACCAGCATTCTCCAACCCACTCTGTCCTGGGCCTTCCTTTCTAGTTCCATCCAATTCTTGTTCATTTTTCTCATGTCTATCTCCATTTCCCGGTGTAATGTGTTCTTTGGTCTTCCTCTTTTCCTTTGGCCTTGAGGATTTCATGTGAGGACTTGTCTTGTGACGCAGTTGGGTGCTTTCCTCAATGTGTGTCCTATCCACTTCCAGCGCTTCTCTCTGATTTCTTCCTCCGCTGGGATCTGGTTTGTTCTCTCCCACAGTACGTTGTTGCTAATAGTGGTTATTAATTACTAACAAAGTTATGCACGAAGTAGATCATTTATTATGAATTATACTTTCATTTTACTTACTAGTCAGAATCAGTTAAAGATAAGTTACTTGAAATTCGGGATTTACTAGTAAAAATTTATGATTCAGTAACACTCGGGATTATATATAGATGAATTTAAAAGCTGTACTAGTGAGGAAAAGGTTATTCTTCAGAAGAAAGTACCAAATGTTATATACATGTATTTTTAGACACCACAAAGGATCATTTTCAACTAGCATGAAGTCGTCATAACCCTCAATGTTGAGTTAAAACGAGCATATTGCGTTTTCTTAGATTTGTAGTAACTGTTTAACTGATAATGTCATGTAACAAAAATAGACTTCAAACACAACTGAATATTAATTAATTTATTTTTTATGGGTTAATATTATACAGTGTTAATTATTTAATAATTTTATTCATGTTAGTTAATTGTAGAAGCTTATAATCGCCATGGTTACTCTCTAGATGGTGTTGATATTAAACAATATGGTTATTTAAATCGCACACCGACATCAACGCCTCAACTTCAACAAATATTTCCCGGTGAAAGATTAAATTATCAAAATTCTGATATATTGTCAAATCCTGTTAATTCTTTAATGAATTTCAAACAGTCTGATCTTGTTCCTATATGGTATTTATTTGAGACACCATCAGCTGATGAATTAGATCCTCCATTTCTTATGTTCAGCTATAGTTCATCTATATATAATTCCCATCAAATTATTTTATTACTGGGAATTCATACTTTCATTGCATATATATTCTATTAAGCAATAAGTCACTTGTCATGCACTATCCCAGTTGTTTATTAATTGTGGTAAGGCAACTCAAACTGATGTACGTACGTACGTACGAAGTTCTACGTTGTTACTGACTGACTGACTGACTGTTTATCAATGATTTTTATTCAATATTTTGTATTCAGATAAAACTTCATTTTTTTGAAAAATTCTTTGGAATAACTATTTTATGGCAGCTTTTGCATACAAGTAACTAATTTTGGCATTTACAATTTAATTTACGCTTAATATATTATTCTTTATTTTGTTTTCTTTTTTAATGTATTTATCTTTACTGCATGTATTATATTCAGTACTTTTCTATGATGTTTAATCATTGATTGAAATACATTTCTATTGCTCAAAAATATTTAATTGAATTTTAATAATTATCATCATGATTTTTCATTTTTTTCATTTATTCACAATCTCTTGCTGAACAGATAGTTTCTAAGTTGATGGTGTGAATCAATGGTTTTGCGTGATTTCCTTACAAGTTTTAATAATAATAATTATTATTATCATTATTATTTCCATCCCATTTTCCTTGTGTTCTTTTCAGTTTTCTCTAATAATAATTTTCGTCAACGTTATTATTTAATTCTATTCAATTTGTGTGCATTTGAAATTAGTCAATATCGCGAGCAAATTTTGGTTAGACAATAGTTGAATAATAAGGAGCACTAAAGAAATTGTTGACTAAGTACTACTGTAAGGTTTGGGATAGGTATCACTTATAGGGGGAATATCTTGAATTGAATAATAGTGGCACTGTCAAGCAATGGATCTTTAATTTGGTTATCTAAAAGAATCCATTTGCTGTTATATCTAAATGTCCTGGATTCAATCCCTGGAGTGGGGATAGTTCTTTCCTAGATCAAAAAGCTGTTCATCGTTCTTTTTTTAGTAGTTGTTAGTTTTGTAAGCTATTTATTAAGTTCAATATTCTCCAGATCTCCACGGTGTTTATCTTGTTTGGAGTAATTTAACAAGATTCTAGGTCAGAAAGATATCATTCAGAACTGAAAGAACCAATAGTTATACAGATAAATAGCACTGGGAAACGGGTGTACAAAGCCGTGAATTTATATGAATAAAAACCATTTAATACCGACTTAGCAGTCCAAAGGTTAAACATTCACCGCGAGATATGAAAATCATGAGCTCACTCCTCGGTGGGGTAGTAGATCCATAATGCTGAAGAGCTTCATTCTAGAGCGGAATAACTATCTAATGCTCCCTAGTTGTCTAACTTAGTTGGCACTGCGATATAAAGTATGAAACTCAACAATCTCCACAACACAGCTTAAAGCCATACAAATTGAGTTAGCTAGTCAGCCGGTCACAAACTAGAATGAATGAGAGATGAATATAAATAAATTCAATTAATCAATTTATATTTATCTTCAGGAGAGGAAATTATCAACTTAATAAACTGCATCGGAATAATAAGAGATGTCAAACAGTAGTGAATGACTAAACGTAATAAAATTTGAAAAGTATATGATGAATCATGTGGGAGATCTAAATAATACTAGAAATTAAGATTTAGACGAACAGTGTGTTCGTTTCAAGCTGTGTAACAAAAGTCTCATATTTCATGTAAGTTGCATATAATGAGGAATCATCAGTAAGTAGTCTTAATTTCTTTTGCCCTTAATGTGTACTTCAAAAAGGATAAAATGTACCAATATCCATGCTAATGAGAAAAACCGAACATTATTCTTCATGTGGATCTCCCGTTAAATCCAATCGATTCTGTTTAGTATAGTAGACGAGTGAGTTGTTCATGAATACAAGAGATAGATCATTAAAGTAGGGTATTTAGGGAGTTTGTAGACAACTATCGAGAACCTAGAAACACTGGATCGCTGTTTCGTCCTAGTATGGGACTCCCAAACGGTTCTCATCGGTGACCCTGCAAAAGAAAATCAAACATCGGACCTCCAGTCTCGATCGCAAACGCTTGATCTCGTAGGTGCGTACCGCTGAAGAGACCCGTACTTTGACAAAACGGCCTTCCAGGTTTTCAATAGTGGTATAGCTGAAATCAATTCATGATTTAAGCTATGAAAAGAATGTGTCGTTAGTAGTTGGAAAACCGTGAATAAATTATGATTTTTATAGAGTTTTATATAGTAATTTATTAGGTTTTCTTGTAAGACAATATCAGTCAGTCAACAAATTCCAGCCAATTATGTTTTGTTAGATAATCACTTAAAATGCTTAATGCTTCGAAAAATATGTGCTTATTTTTGTTATACAAAATTGGTTTACCTATTAATTCAATATTTTCTCATAGTTTATCATACCAAAAATATACAGTTAGCGTATTCTCTGAAGGTTTCTTGGTACTTAGATTATGAATTTGTTAGCCTGAATTACTTTCTAGCATTTCACAACTGTTTTACATTAGTTTACAGAGTACACATAATTGATATGACATTGGATAGAATCCATAAGCTTTATGTCTCCAAGAGAGCACATTCTCATTAAATCATTTGAGTCAGAATCATGTTATTAACATATGTAATTTTGATTGGTTTGAAATATTCAAGGAATTGGAGACAATGTTTTTTTAAATAGTTACTCTCCTTGAATAAGTGTATTAGGAAAAAAATATAAGAATTTTGGACACCTTTGAAAAATACATCTTTGATGTTAAGCATGATTAAACTTTTGATTATTGTAGTCGTTGGACATAGATTCATTTAGACGCTATATTCCCTTCTAGAAATAGTAATAACATATGTTATTCTTAATTTGTTACATGGATTAGAATGTTATACTTTTATTTATTAGCGAACTTTTCCGGATTTATCCTATTTTATTATTATTAGGTTAATTTATTATATTATCTTGTTTTAGACACTACGAATAAAAATGGATAGTTAACAAATTCAGTGCAGTTGGAAGTTTAACTAAAGAATAATGCATAAGTTGTTAGGATGAAGAAAAGTATTTTATGTTCATTTCTCAGTTTTTAACAATAAATATGGGTCAGACAGGGTGAGAGAGATAATCACTTACTTACGCCTGTTACTCCCAATGGAGCATAGGCCGCCGACCAGCATTCTCCAACCCACTCTGTCCTGGGCCTTCTTTTCTAGTTCCATCCAATTCTTGTTTATTCTTCTCATGTCTATTTCCATTTCCTGGCGTAATGTATTCTTTGATCTTCCTCTTTTCCTTTAGCCTTGAGGATTCCATGTGAGGGCTTGTCTTGTGACGCAGTTGGGTGCTTTCCTCAATGTGTGTCCTATCCACTTCTAGTGCAATTGTAATTCTACCAAATGTTTAGTGGAAAACTCTATATTGTGTAAATTTTTTAAGAAGATATAAAGTGGAATGAATGCGAAGGTGATAACTCTAAGTGGATAACGCGATGGCGTTTAAAGCGAACGATACTGGGTTCGAGTCCCAGAGTGGGCATCAACTCTGAGATGCTGATGAGTCCAAAAGGGGACGAAACGCGCGTCCTGAATTCCACTGCTAGCCACTATCCATCTTTACTTATAATTTTCGTGAATTAAGGCAATCTCCAGGCAATACGCACAGTATGCATATATGCCAACTGCAATTCTAAACATCAGTGGGAAGATTCAAGTAAGCAATACCAAGTGAGATTGATCATGCATTGCGGAGATTATTAATGATGTTTAACCAATTGTAATGATAATAATAACGATAATAGTAGTAATACAGAGATTTGTGAATAAAGATAACAGTGAAAATTACATTTGACTACGAAAGGTCGTAAGTACAATAGTCAAATTATGTCATTCAATAGCTAAGATCACTACTGAATAGTTGGCCTTAAATCAATTGATGTCTTGATACATGGATGAAATACACGTGTCCGTTGAAACTTTTTTCATCTCACAAAACTTGTAGTACAGTCTGATGATTTTTAAATACATTTTACGCCTTATGCTATCTATATTTAGAGATGCTGAATACAGACAAGTTGTTAAAATGGAAATTAACATTTATCCATATATAGATACCCAACCACTATGATATAATTGAATAACCCTGTCTTTTACTCGTATGAGATCAGTCGTTTATAAAAGGTGTTTTTAGTATAGAATAATTATATTTAAAATGACCAATCATAGTTTTAATATAGGATAATACGACTTTCAACTGCTCTACGACATATTGGACATGCAGTGACCTGATCACCACACCATTGACATGTAGCATGACCACACATGAAAACCAAATTTCGTGAACGATCCAGACATATAGGACATCGAATCTAAAATGTGCAACCGGTAAAAAATATAATTAGTAACGTGTATTATAATAATGACAATTTTTAAAATAATTATTGTCTGTATTCAATCGCTAGTAATGGAAAAGCTAATCAATGACAGCTATGATGTTTACGCCGCAAAGTTATACTGATTATGTCAACTTACACACTGGTGTACTATTGTTAATTTGTCAGTGAATTTTGATTGTTTAACATATCACGTACCTAAAAAGTACAGTTCAGCGGATTCAAAACAGAATTGAAGCCTAAGTACTTTGACATTGATTATGATTCATTGTAAGCACTCCAGTTCTATAGAAGGTCAATAGTTAACCAAATATCATCCACCTAAGTTACAAATCTTCTCCACCGTTTCAGTAAATTAAATATTATAATCATAAGATTTAAAATTTAGTAACCGAATAGTCAAACTGCTGATCAGTCAAATCGACTTGAACCTATGAATTTTAACATAATTTAATGAATCAATCAATTATATACAATAATGGAAAAAAGCTGCTAGAATATAACGTCTTTTCAACGGTCTCTTGTTCTTGACGATCAAACGTTAGTAAGTCAAGAAAACTACTTTCTCTGGTTATCTGAGAATCTACAAGTATGAGCGTACACGCGCGAGATTGAAAGCCCTGGTGTAGATCATGACAATCGGTGAGAGATTTCAAAGTATCTACCTTGTACGTTTACATAGTCTTCGATTATCCATTTGCATTTT